AGAAGTTGATAAAAATCTTCAATTTCCTCATCTTTGGCTTTGGTGGTTGGGGCATAAATTTGAATAACAGTCGTATTAACGGATCTTCCTTGTAGGTGTATGGATATTATCCTATCACTGACAGCATTGTACTTCAGGACAGATCTTGAAACATCCTTTCCTCTTCAAACCATCATTCCCGGCAGAGTACATCACATGGTTGTCTGATTCAAAATGGCCAAAACCCATCCATTTCAGCTCACTAATGCCTAGGATATCAATCTTTATGTGTTCCATTTCATTTTTTACAACTTCCAATTTTCCTAGATTCTTAGTTCATACATTCCATGTTCTGATGATTAATGGATGTCTGCAGCAGTTTCTCCTCAATATGAGTGGTGCCACATCAGCAAATGGAGGTCTCGAAAGCTTTACCTTATCCATATGAGTAAGGCTGGGTTTACTCTGAGGATGCAGCTCTTTCACAGTCCTATTTTGAGAGCCTTCTAACCTATGCGGACCATTCATAAAGTTGCGTGGTAATGTATCAGTGTTTCTTTGCTATTCATAAGGTTTTCCCTGGCCAGTTCTTTGAGAAGTGAATGGCCTCTTCTTCCTTCTTCTTAGTCTGTCTCAGTCTGTAAGTTGGGCTAATACCTGTGCACCATGTGCACCCCACTGGATTTGAAACACCAGTGGCTCAGCCTCAAGACTCACATCAGCAAGTCACCACGGTAGGACAAACCAACAGACAAGTTTGTCTCCTGTTGGAAACCTCTCCTACCACTCTTACCTGGGTTCCTGCAGCTGACTCCTTGCTCTGTCCTGGTCCCCAAGCCTATTCCTCTCCTCTCTCCCATTCTCCCGCCCTGTCGCTTTGGGGCATGGCCTGGGTTCCCTCTCCTCACCAGGATCCCTGCGGCTGACTCCTCATCTGTCCCGGTCCCTGGGCCTTTTCCTCTTTCTCCCGCTCTCCCACCCTGCTGCTTTGGTAGCTGACTCCTCATCTTTCCCAGTTCCTGAGTCTTTTCCTCTCCTTTCTCCCGCTCTCCCGCCCTGCCGCTTTGGAGGGTGGCCTGGGTTCCCTCTCCTCACCTGGATCCCTGTGGCTCACTCCTCCTGTTTGCCTGAGAATGTCTTAATTTCACTCTCATATTTGAGGGACAGTTTGGCTGTATATATATAATTTTTGATTGGCAATTCTTTTCCTTCAAGATTTTGTTTATGCCATCTCATTGCCTTTTGCCTCTATGGTTTCTGCTGAAATATCAGAGTTTAGTTTTATTGGTTGTCCATTGTAGGTGACATTTCATTTTTCCCAAGATTTTTTTCTTTGGTTTTGGAAAGTTTGATTATGATATGTCTTAGTGACTTTCTCTTGAAATCTATTCTATATGGGTTCATTGATCTTCTTGGATGGATATCTTTTTTCCTTCAGGATATGGGGGAAATTTTCTGTTAGCAAGTCTTGGACAGCTTTCTCGGGTATTTTTATTTATTTATTTATTTTTGCCTCCTCTTGTTCTGGTATTCCAATTAGGTATATGTTGTTTCTTTTACTGTCATCCCATATAACTCTTAGGTTCTCTTCATTTCTCTTAAATCTTCTGATTTTTTTTTTTTTTCCACACAAGTTGGTGTCAAGGGATTTGTCTTCTAGCTGGAAAATGTGTTCTTCAGCTAGTTCTAGTCTATTCCTTTGTCCTTCCACTGTGTTATCTATCCCCATAATTTTAGTGTTCATCTTCTGGATTTCTAATTGGTGTTTTTGTATGAATTCTAATTGTGTATTTATCTTGTTATTTTGTTCTTGAAGGATTTTCTTGAATTCTTCCAGGGTGCTGTCTCCTTGTTATTTTTATTTATGGTTTCCTTGAGATCTTGGAGGGTCATATGTGTGTGTGTGTGTGTGTGTGTGTGTGTGT